AGCTTGTGTTATTTACCAAAGACATTTATGTTCTTAAAATTTAACAAATCAGATTATACAGTATAAATAAATATTTAAAAGTTTAATGTTTGTATTATGGGATCAAACTAAGCACCATATTTCACATGATGCCTATTAAGTTAAATAACTGATTTGTGTCATGTGCTTTAAATAGAATTTTCCTGGTGTTTTGGCAAATATTACAACCTGACTAACTTCTCAATCTGTTTCTTTTCAGGATAAAAGTGAAGAAGCTGGAAGTTTAGTTTGGTGTTTTGATGTCCAATTATTAATTTGAATACGCATTCATTGTATAGAGATGCTGGAACCTACCTATTGCTGAGATCCTGGATTGCTGGCCTGGTTTAAAATGGAGTCACAGGTAAAAATATTTTTGTCTGAGCACACTTGAAAACATGTTTTATATTTAAAGGGATAGTTCACCCAAACATGAAAATTCTGTAATTAATTCCTCACCCTCATGTCGTTCCAAACCCGTAAAACCTTCGTTCATCTTCAGAACACAGATATTTTTGATGAAATCCGAGAGCTTTCTAACCCTGCATAGACGGCAACGTAACTGAAATGTTGCCAGGCACAGAAATGTAGTAAGGACATCGGTAAAATACTGCTCGGAGCCTTGTTTACAAGCAGAGGAATGCACATGCATGCGTTGTGGTACTCTCCATAATGGCGGAGGACAGTGACTTGGAGAAGACTGTAGAATAAGGTCGTGATTTTTGTTTTCTTTGCACACAAAAAGTATTCTCGTAGCTTAAAATTACGGTTGAACCACTGATGTCACATGGACATCTGGGCCTGGGAATATTTCCGTTAAGTTGCTGTCTATGGAGGGTCAGAAAACTTTCTGATTTTATCAAAAATATCTTAAATTTGTGTTCCGAAGATGAACGAAGGTCTTACTGGTTTGGAACGACGTGAGGGTGAGTAATTAATGACAGGATTTTTGGGTGAACTATCCCTTTAAAGTAATAGTTTGCCCAGAAATGAACATTTGCCATTAATTTACTCTCTCTCTGGCCATGCAAGAAGTAGCTGATGTTCTTTCTTCAGTAGAACAAAAGATAATTTTTAGCTAAACTCATGGTCCTTGGTGATTCATAAAATGCAGCTCAACGGATGCCATCACTTTGCGAGTCAAAAAACATAAACAAGCAACACAAAATTAATACCCGTGGTGGCACAGAAATCTTGAGCTCCAGACTCCTGGTCGTAGTGTTATAATGTGTTGTCTGTTGACTTGAACTTTATGAATCACCAAGGACCACGAGTTCAGTTAAAAATCTTCTTTAGTGTTCTACTACAGAAAGAAAGTAGCCTACATCTTGGTTGGCCGAAGGATGAGTAAACTGACAGCAACTGTTAATTTTTGGTTATTTTTCAGTGTGTCAGGTTTATACTTGTAGTTGACAGTCGAAGTTCAAAATGTGTTATTTTGCAGTATTTGTTTTTAAACAGTACACTGTACATATACCTTGGCTTAATCGCTTATTAATTTGTGCAGATCTGCTCCGAGTTTCTCAAAATTATGAACGTCAACCTGAAGAACCAGAATTAAAGTTGATCCCACAGGAAAAGTGTCTGAAGTACTGAGTCAGCTTTTCAGGATATGTGACACTTCAGGTCAGTGGTTACACTTCTTAATGGCTGATAAAGCAACTACGGTTGATTTTGAGTGATTTCGGTTGTATTGTCATACACACAGACGTTTTAGGGTGATGCACAGTATTGTGTGGCTGTGTGGATTAGATTCCATGTTAATGGAAGTACAGGGCACACGACCAATCTAAAGTATTCCCTGATCTTCGCTTGATCAGATTCTTGAAGTACGCTTAGATAAAAAGGGTGTGTTGTCTACGCAGGCTGATCTCCTCCATCTCCACTTCCTCTCTCTCTTTTATTAAACAACGATGGGCCTCACATTTGATGACGAGACTTGGAACCAGATCCTGTCCCGTGTTCATACCTCCTCTATTTGTGCACGTCATAGTCTTATCTAATTAAAATTTATTCACTGAATTTACTGGACAAAAGTGAGGTTGACAAAAATCAAGCCTGGTATCGATCCTCTCTGTCAACCTAAGCATTAAGATGTTATTATGATCGTGGCCTGAATCTGGTTAGGAGTGTGTGATTATATGTGTGGATACTTGCGTATGTATATGTATATACTTTAAAGCTGTAAGGTTTTGTTTGTGGAGGTATATGCATACATTTGATAAATGGTCGAAATGTCTAAACTTTAATGCTCCAACATATTTTCTATACTCGAGACATTAGACTTGACGTTCTTTGTTTTACAATATGTATCAAGTTTTTTATTTTTTATGTTTTATTTAGTTTGTTTAATTATACTTTTTTTTTCTCTCGCTGGGGGGAAAATTTTTTTTTCATGATTCTCCTGTATCTGTATCCTGTTATTATTGTAAAAGTTCAATAAACAGATTTAAAATAAATTAATTAATAAAATAATACTTCTGCTTATTTAATGTTATTGGACTGAGAGTATTTAACAAAATATTGAACGCACTTTTTCATTTGTCTGAATGATCATCTACAGACCTCTCCATAGCTTTATCTCAAGAAGCATTAGGGCAGTTGGACATTAGACTGTAGAGCGACAGCACATCAGCTCGCAAACAACATGACTCACCTCTGTCACTGTTGTAGACTCGTAAACCTCTTTACTGTAGTTCCAGCCGTTCACACAGGACTTGACCTCGACCTCACTGACACTGACCTCCACATTTGGGGTGTAGTCCCACAAGGACACTGATAACACCACGCAGCCACAACAAGCACTGCTCATTGACACTATCCCGGCTGAGCCCAGCCCACAGAGCTCATCACAGACGGACTGAGACACATCACACTGTGGAAATAACTCTGAGTCATGACAACTTCTGGTCAGTGAACATTTGCAGGAAAACTAGTCCTATAGTTTATCCCAAGGACGACTTTCTGGAAAACAGCCAGGGAAGCCAGGACAACATATTTCAGCCACCGGAAACACCAGAGCCACAGCCCCGCTCACCAGACACATTACCCCTCTCTCCAGCATCTCCACTTCTAAGCTTCTCACAGAAAATGGAGGAACTGGTTTATGCTGGGATCAAACTCTCCCACTCTTTTGCTGCAAGCCCCCAGATATCAACTAAAAAACCACCAAAGCCTGTGGGCCCAGCTCCTGTGACAGCTCTCTGGCCGCTGCCACAACGCCAGGGCCCAAACCCTCCATCTGCTGTAGGTGAACCAAAAACAACTGATAGCAGCTCTCAGTGATATGTGTCGGGTCCCCGCTATAATAGCAGCAACATT